GAATACCACTATCATTAAAAATGTAAGTTATATAAATTAAGGGAAAACTTTCTTGTTAATAAAAACCTCTTTAAAAATAGGTATTTTAATGGTTCAGAAATATCATAAAGTGGGTTACTTCTTTATATATTGTGAAGACAGACCCATGGCTTGAAGAAAAGTTTTATCTATCTTCTCTGATAGGGCCGTGGCTAAACCCTTAGCTGCCAACATAAAGATTGGCCCTTCAGGCCTTCCAGCCACTTCATGGGAGTAAAGACCTGATGATCTGCTTCTGTTAATGATTGTAACCTGGGAAACACTTTGGGGCTGTTCTGCTCTCACACAGAGTTGTTAGATTAAGAACTGACTCTATAGCACACAACAACAGTAATTACCATCTAAATACTCCTTTAATATTTTCCATTTGCTTTAAAAATATTGAATTTTTAGATATTACAATTGACCATTTCTTCCAGAAGTTTAGTTTTGTTTTGTGTTCTCCTATAACTGAGACTATGTCCTGCTTCCTACCTTCTCCGTACATTCCCTCCAGTGTGATTTCTTCTCATCTGGGTCTTTGTGTGCCTGTAAGATGCCCTTGTAAAAAGTTAAAAAAAGGCCCAGGGGTAATCCTGAACACTAAAACCTCAGAGCCTGAGTTCAGCCTCTGTTTGCCATATTGGCCACGTGTTCATGCTAAATGCACAAACTGCACATCTCAGCAGAGTGGTCCTAGCATGCATTTCTGCTCTTGCTCTTCAAGGCAGACCTGCATTCCTGGCTGCAACCAGCTTTAGAATGAGACGATAGAGTGTTGGGATGACTGACTCATCTTGTCACCTTGGGGTTTTCCTGGGTTGAAAGTTGGGAAGCCTGGGAAACTCCTCAGTCTTAGGCATATTTCAGCAGGGGGTGGGATGTCTGCTTTCCTTTTGCAAAGAGGTGACAAATAATGAGAAACATCGTAGAGTGGGGAGAACTAGAAGAGGTTTTAGCTTTGAGGATCCAACAAGTACAGGAAGGTTGGTGACTTTACTGCAACAACTTGGCAGGGCCACTTGTTTTACAAGAGACAAGGGCAAACCTGGGCATTTAAGATGTTAGAACATCTCTGTGAATCCTAGAGGAAGGAAAAAAAATATAATGTAAGATGAGGAATAAATGGGAATGTTTTTTTCACATGGCCAATATGAAAAATGACACTTTGGGTAAGTGTTTTAAAAATGAACTAAGATTAAATTAGTGATAAAACTAGGTTAAATCAAGGAAACAGCAGGGAATTATATTTTGTGAATAAGGTACTTTAAGAAGAGAAGACAAATGAGCTACTTCCTGGTTCCTGAGATGTCGACCAAATGATAATAAATGAACAATGTGGTTCTCTTTAAAAATGGATTTTGTGGGCAAAGAGGATAAGAAAGGCCCTGACAAGGGAAAGACAGGAAACAAAATCCAGTAGTGTGGTGTGAATATGGCTTCTCTCTGCGCCTAGTTTTCTGTGGTAATGCCTCTCTCAGTAATGATGAGTGCAGCAGGAATATCTATCTTCATTGGGCTCCACCTTTCTGAACTAACAGTTGTCTCGGGAGTTGACTGGTTATTTCAACTATCTATCTATCATCTCCAGATGATATGAGTCGGAAAGGACTCGATGGCACATAACAACAACAACAACAACAACATCTATCTATCTATCTATCTATCTATCTATCTATCTATCTATCTATCTATTCATTCATTTGGCTATTCATTCATTAGGTAAAAACAACCATTGCTATGTATATGGAATTGAAATTCTGCTTCCCTTTTCCAAACCCCTACCTGACAATCAGGTCACCTTTTCAATAAACGAAGCCACGATTCTGGCTGACTTGTTGGCCCTGCAGCTGCACAAAGTGGAAGATGACGTCCGAAGCATTGTGGACAAAGCTGTGAAAGAACTGGGCACAGAAAAGGTAGGGTCTGCTGGCGGTTCCTTTCATAAAAGGGTAATTTAATTAGTTCTAGGGAAATGTGATATTTAGGTGATAGTTATTGCGTTCCATGTGGGAGACCCCGCTTTGACAACTGACCAGTTCACCTCACAGGCAGCAACCACTTACTTATGTCAGTGGAGACCTGTGTGTCGCATACAGAACAGATTTTAGCAGAGGTTCAAGTAAGACAGACTAAGGAAGACAGACCTGGAATTCTACTTCCCAGAAAAATCAGCCAGTGAATTCCCATGGAAGACAATGGTTCAATTCCTAACCTCTCATGGGGATGGGACAGGACCAGTTAGCATTTTATCAGGAGCAGTCCTGAATTGAAGTTTACCCAAAGGCAGCTAAGAATAAAAATTACTTTGTACATTAACATACAAATCGAGTCAAAAATTCTCCTAATTTGCTGTTTGGTGCTAATTAGCTGTGTGAGTTATACAGAAAAGTGTCATTATAAGATTCAGTGGATCTATGAAACAAGATGATTGGCCCCGTTATTGATGATTATCAGCACAAATTTATTTTCTTGTTGTTCTTGAGTACCATTGAGTTGGAACTGACTCACAGCTGACCCTCCAGTAGGTTTTCAGAGGCAGTTAACTCAAATATACATATACATATATATATATATATTTATATTTATA